ATAGTGACAGATGAATAACTGAACCTGAGCCCTCAGTACAATGTTAATATGGAACAAAAAAAAAAAAAAAGTCTAATTCTCAGATGCTTATCCAGGAGAATAAGAAGTAGCAAGATTTTTCAATAGCATCTCTTTCAGGCCATGGTGTAGTTTTCAGTTCTAGTAACACAATGCAATGAGGATTTTAAGCAATGCATTTTCTTCAGAAATAATACACAAAACAATTAAAGAGTTGCAAAACATGAAAAAATGAAGACCTGTTTAAGTTCCCAAAGAAAAACGCAAAAGAAGCCATTAGATGATGGTGTAAAAGCAGAAGAAAATTAAAAAAAAAAAAAAGTCTAATTCTCAGATGCTTATCCAGGAGAACAAGAAGTAGCAAGATTTTTCCATAGCATCTCTTTCAGGCCATGGTGTAGTTTTCAATTCTAATATACACAATGCAATGAGGATTTTAAGCAATGCATTTTCTTCAGAAATAAAACACAAGACAATTAAAGAGTTGCAAAACATGAAAAATGAAGACCTGTTTAAGTTATCAAAGAAAAAAGCAAAAGAAGTCATTAGATGATGGTGTAAAAGCAGGAGAAGAAAAAACATGAAAAAATGAAGACCTGTTTAAGTTCCCAAAGAAAAACGCAAAAGAAGCCATTAGATGATGGTGTAAAAGCAGAAGAAAATTGATGAGAGAGAGCTTTCCAGATTTACAAATGCATCATGAGGCAAAAAACAAATTAACAAATTTTGACGAGAAATTAAGTCAATTTTTTCCAACAATAAACAGAATTAACCTTGGTACAGCTCCTTTAAGTAGAAAGGGGTTTCCAACTGGGAATATCACTGATAAACAGAATAATATAAAAGCATGTGCTACATCAGTTAAACTGACCATTCTGACTGAATGGAATAAACTCCTGGACCTGCAGCTATGACATCCCCACCTATTCCATCGCTCCTGCTAACACTCCTGCAGGGAGTTTTTTTCATTCAGAAAACACAGACAGCTTTCCCCATCAGCTGCTCATCTCCACTGCATAGGAGGAAGGAGACTAAATCTCTACAAGACAGTAAGTATTGGTATCCAGAGAGCAACTGGGCAAGAACTGTGCATTATACTTTTTTTTACGAGTGCAAGAAATGGCATATTAATCCTGAAGCCATTCTAGATGTGGGTACTATTTTTCCAATATTTGGCATTTACTGAGCCAGCAATCCAAGAGACGGAATCTCCAAGAGAAAAGACAGCATTTATTCGGTTTTGTATGAGTTAGAAGCAGATGCTGAACTGCCAGATGCTTCAAAATTGCTTTGAGAATGGAAGAACCAAATTCAAAGATATGCTCTAAGATAATCAGATTTTCCATCTTTTACCTCGGTGATGGAGTTCTTGGAGAGAAAAAAAAAAGGGGCGGGGGGGGCTTTTTTAAAATGAAAAGATATAATTTCTATTGATTCCATGACTGTGCAGCTCCCAGACTTTAATATTCTGTCTCTTGTTTGTATTACTCCATCTATTTTTTTTTCTTCAGACAGGCTGTATGAGACCTCAGAGCTTACAGAACCCTGTCTTTAGGCTGGGAACTGCAGAGCTGTTTATGAGCACATTAGCCAACCAGAATATAATTTGCTATATACATTTCTTTTCACTTTTCTGTCACCATCTTAAACACAAACTTGGCTGATGAAGGCCACTTTAGCTCCGCAGCCTACCTCACAACAGGAGGGAGGGAGGAAGGAAGGTGTAATAACAGACTTTACAAACACAAGGAAGAAGTCCCTTTGCAAGAAGAAAACCCAGTAATTGCTTTGCCAGGGCAGAAGTGAGGTGCATGAAGAGATGTATCTGCGTGGTGCCATCTGACAAATACTGGTAAGCAGCTGAACACTGAATGGTCAACAATCTATCACTCTTATATTTGAATACCTACCTTGTGCACATTCAATTTCGACATATAGATGCCTAATAACCTACATATTAAACTTTTACATCTGCATTCTAAATGAGCCTCTTAGGTCATACTGTTTTCAGGCATTTGTCAGATGAGTCATGCCTCAAGCTTGGGAAACTTGAGCCAAAAGCTGGTATCCTCCAATGACCTGAGACATTTCTATGTCAAAATATTGAGCAACTTCTATCAAAAGGTACTACACTGAGATTCTGCACTGCATCTCCTGGCATGTTTTTCCAAGCAGGGAGACCTCCTGAGAGGTTCACTCTTCCCAAGATAGGCAAGAACAAACACGTAATTGAACTTTAAAAAGAATTCTCTCATTTAAAATAAAAGCTTCTCTAGCATTCACTGGTGTTATCCAAGGGAGCACTCTATGAAGTAAGGAATACCCTGTGAAAAGAATATTTGCATTGCTTGCTTTCTGTTCCACCATGTTTTGTTTCTCAAGCATTTAGCGAAGGAAAACTGCATGAAAAAATACATATATCATTGTTTGGGCCTTCAAACCAGGACAGTATGTCTCAACCTTCTGCAGCAGCGCTGCACTCCACCTTCACCCTTCAACTTTTAATGAAATCTTCTGATACTTACAACATTTATGCAGCTTTTATTTTAAAATATTAAAGATGCTCTTGTTATCCTGTCAGCTTTAGCTCTCCCCACACAAACTCCTTGCCGTGTTTACAAGAAATTAACAGACGAGCATGAAAGTTTGTCTCTGATCTCACTGGGATAAACTCAACTGTTAGATAAAGTGTAAACAGTTTTATTTGTCTTTAGTGACTCAGCCATTGACTGACTTTTACTCATAAAAGGTTTCTCTCCAAGAGAGGAAGGAAGTGGGGAAACTGAGAATTTTAAGCTTTCTAACCAGTATGTTATGAATAAGGATGCAGCTACTCAACAGCATCAGCAATGCAGGAACTTAGCCCAAAGGTCTTACATTTTTCTCTGTGAAACAGTGAACAAATGAGAGCAGTGATCTCACTCACTTTCATTTAATTAACCTTCACTTTATTGCAGTCATTGAATGACCCTGGTCTGTGTTCTTCACTGTGTCAGCAGTCAGCATCCACTACATTTCAAAAGGGAATTAAATGTCTTTTCTCGCAAATGCTGTGTTTTAATTCTCCTTTTCCATCACCACTGATTATTTCATCTTTGTTCCTACCGAACAAGAGCTCCAGCATTTGAGTCTCCTTTTCCCCTTTCCTCTCACATCCTGCTTACATAATATGTCTAAAATCATCTTGACTACCAAAACCAAGTCTACACTTCGGTCGTCTCTCACTAAGTTATAACACCTCCTCCTCCTCATATGTTTGAGAACTTGGCTCCTGCAAATCAGTTTCTTGCAGATGGTACTTCCATTTACTGGCACCAATCGGTTACTTAGAAGTATTAGTCACTGGAGATACACATTTTATAAAACATGTGAAAAATAAGAAAGTAGAATAAACAGGAACATACAGTGACATACTGCCTTGGCTCTTTCCCAGACTTTTTTCCTCATAAGGACAAATACTAGATAGTTTGCACCAAGCATTTGTGTTCAAGTGAGGTTATGATGTAGACAATTAATTTTGAGAGAGTATTAATGTTTTTTTAATAGTCAAAATAACCATCCTCCAAATGCCACACTAACAGCATTACAGCCTCATTTGCAGAGCACTGACTCAGATCCAGAAACGATGCATTGGAGTCACAACCTTCTACTGCTTTTCTGTTTGATCTTGAGCAAGACTGAATCTTTATCTACGCTTCCATAGACGTGAAGAACGCGCTGTGACATCTGCTGTAAATGAGCTGATATTAGGACCTGCCTGCACTCCTCACACACACCAGCCCCTTCCCCACCTCAGCTCCCTCACTGCTGGCAGGTGATTACACAAACCCCACTGATCTGAGGAACAGACCTGGGATTTCTCTTGGAAGATGCCATGAAAGACCATGGAGGTTCACACACATGCATTTATGCAGGACTACAGCCTAGGACTACAGCTCGGCCTGTTCTTGTTATTCCCTGGGCCCTTTTCAATCCTCCAGTGCCCCCAGTACCAACACCCACATCACTGCCCTTGCAACAGGAACCCCCAAAACCAAACAGAAAATCCCAGCACGTATCTTCACCACAACCACCCCAACCCAATGCCCCTGCAGCCCAACAGACTTTAACAGGTTCTTCTCATTTGCCTTCCATGGACACCCCAGCCACTTTTTCAGCATTTTTGCCAGTGCACCCCAAATCTCTGGGGTTTCCCTCACTGGAAGGGGATCTGTCCTTTCTGCTCACCCACCCGCACAAACAAGAGCTCTTCCAGGGTTTTGAACCTGCCGATGGCCGGTCTCGCCCTCATCCCCCACCCGGGCCCAGCCCCTCAGAGCCGCCCCTCAGCCGCGGGCCCGGTTCCCTCAGCCCGTTCCTGCCTGTCCCTCAGCTACGGCCCCGGTTCCCTCAGCGGCGGCCCCGGTTCCCTCAGCTCGTTCCTGCCTGTCCCTCAGCTACGGCCCCGCTTCCCTCAGCTCCTTCTTGCCTGTCCCTCAGCTACCGCCCCGGTTCCCTCAGCTCGTTCCTGCCTGGCCCTCCGCCGCGGCCCCGGCTCCCTCAGCTCCGGCCCCGGCTCCCTCAGCTCGTTCCTGCCTGTCCCTCAGCGGCGGTGCCGGCTCCCTCAGCTCGCTCCCGCCTGCCCCTCAGCCTCCTCTCAGCTGCGACCCCGGTTCCCTCAGCTCCTTCCCGACTTTCCCTCAGCGTTTCCCCTCAGCCGCGGCTCCCTCAGTTCGCTCCCCTCTGCGCCTCAGTTTCCCCTCAGCACGTCCCCTCAGTTCGCTTCCGCCAGCCCCTCAGTCTGCGGCCCCGCTTCCCTCAGCTCTCTCCCGTCTGTCCCTCAGCTGCGGCCCCGGTCCCCTCAGCCCGCTCCCGCCTGTCCCTCACAGCCTCCCCTCCGCCGCCGCTACCGGCGCGGCCCTTTCCCGCCCCTCCGCTGAGGCCCTGCCTCCTCCGCTTGCACCGCCCGCCGCGCCATGCGCAAGCGCCCTGGGAGCCGCGGGCCCGGCCGAGGCGCCGCCGCCGCTTCCCGCCGCCCCCATGCTCCGCACCGAGAAAGTGCTGCAGCTGCGGGGCCAGCAGGGCCGCTCGGTGCGGGTGGTGCGGGAGCATTACCTGCGCCCCGACGTGCCGTGCCGCAGCGCCCTGTGCCGGGCCGCCTGTCCTCGCGGTGAGGGGGCTGAGGGCGGGAGGGTTGGGGCTGGGGGGGGCTCCGGGAAGAAGAGGGGAGGGGAACCGGACCCGGCATCACCCGAGGTGGAGCGGTGGGCGCCTTCCCCCCCGGGGGGGCCTTGTTCCCTAGAGCTCGCCGGGGCGAAACTGTGATCGCTGGGCGGAGGGGATCCCGCACGGCCTGGAGGGACGGGGCTGCCGGGGCGGGGAGGCCTGACGGGACCCGGCGGGAGCTGCCGCGGGTGCGGGGGGACAGCGAGCGGAACAGCGAGCGGGACAAGCGGTGAATAAAAGAGAAATGCGGATGGGAGAGAGGTGGGGAGGAGGTGGGGGCCGGAGACTGGGCCCAGAGCCCCCCCTGTGCCGTCCCGGGCCGGGCATGGCCCGTCCTGGGCAACAGCGGGCAGAGTCCTGGAAAAACCGAGCGGTCCCAAATCAGGGATACGACAAAAGTGCTCCTACAGAGCAAAAATCGTCCAGAAACAAACGAGGCGTTAAGAAAAGAGAAAAGGGGACTGAGAAGTTGGTTGTTAGAGGGTTTGGCTGTGAACAGGTTACACACGGTGATAAAAGGCTAAAGGTTAACACAAGTTTCACGCTCCCGTTTTTTAAAGGCTCTCTTAAAATGCACTAATTTCTGCAGAGTGGTGGCGTATCACATGAATTAAATCCTGTACGTACCTGTTCGGTATCCTTACAGCGGGGCCAAGCTGTTTGCCTGAAACGATTGTAATTCTGCATCGGTAGTTATTTCTGTTTGGTAATTAAATGTAATTGCCTGTGTTATATCTGGCCGTTTCAGACATGGGAAGGCTGCCAGCCTCTGTGATGTCTAGGTTTGTTGTTGTTTTTACATACTGTGATGCTATTATGTGCATCATAGATCATCCTGTGACCTTTGGCTGATATTTCAGGGTGGGTTTTTTTTGTTGTTAAATAGCGCAATTTATTTGGTGCAAGAAACAGACGGGCAAATAACTAACATAATATTCAACCTATTACTGCTAGCTGGGATGTCAGGACTAGTGGTAGTTACAGCTCCCTAATGTATTGCATTTGGTGATGAATTCCTTAAGGATAAGTTAGAGGCACATACCAGAAGAAAAGTCTTATTACCTCTCATACCATACCTAACTTCCCCTCTTCTGCACTTAAATGTAAATTGTGCTGTAGATGAGTATCAGAGTATGTCTGTCTGTAATTATTCTGGGTAGCTCAGAGGTGAGGTGAACATTTGTTTCCATTCCTGACTCTACACAATGTGCTGAGCAAACTTATTTCATGCCGTGTGAGGGATACCTGCATAAATCATATCTACAGATATTTGTAATGTTGTGCCTACTTAGAAGTTACTCTGATCTAGATGTAGGGGTTACGCAAGGATAGCTTAATGTGGGCACTTACATAAATCTTCCAGTGATATTTCACTTTTAATGACCTTCTGAATTATTAATAAATATTAGCTTTCTTGTATACATTCTGCCATCATCTATTATATGCCTTCAGTGTGAGCTGTAGCCGTGTTACTGTATGCAGAATTGTGCTGACTGGATTCACACTTTTAGTGATCACAGTTAATAGGCAGATTGTCCTGTGTCAGCTTCTAAGAAATACATGAAAATGACCTGACTTGTCAAGATCGATATACTTTTGTTATGTATAATTGGCTTCCACTACCGTAAGTTCAGTGGTTGTAATATCATCAGGGATAAATAGGCATTGAGAGAAAATACAGTGGAGTTTCCCCCTGCCCGAAAGTTTGTCGGGTAATGTTTGAAATATCTAAAGCAATTCAACTCATTATTTTGGAGGTATGTTTTAAGATGCAATCTGTGATGGGTCAGCTGTAGAATATTGATGGCGTAATCCTAAAGGATGGGGTCTCTTGAGAGAAAATTAGCAATGATGGTTAATAGCTTAGATTCAAGTACATCTTGTCTTTGCAGTAATATTGCTTTTCTTGATGTGTACCCTATCTGTATTCTTTTATGTAAAAATACAGAAAAAGAGTCTGTGGTAAATGGATAGTGTTGAATAGAGAGCTCTGTGGAAGCAGTGTAACAGAAGTACCCGTAATTATACGCCCTTTGAAAATTCCATTAAAAGATTTTCTGTGGCAGATGTATAGTCTCTTTTTTCATATGGAAGTAGAGGAAAAAGAACTGTTGCCTGCACTCTTCAAGTTACATCCTTTTCATAGCGAAAGTGGATCTTTTTCACTCATTTGGATAGCATTTGCACTACATTTTTTTCATCAGTGGATGCAAAAGGGTTCTGTCACAAATTTAGAGGTTGTACCACAGAACTGTACCACAGTAGTCATAATTTTTTTCATCAGAAAAAGAGATATTCATACCTTTGAGGATACACCACTCTAATTTCCTGACGTCTGAAATTTTTTTTGGGAAACCGGTATTGCCACTGAAAGTTTAAACCTTTAAACTCTGACTTATATTTTAGATGGCAAGTTGTTGTCGGATGATGTTACACATTACGTTGTCCCCGACTGCAAAGTTGTTCAAGATTACCTTGAGATTCTCGAGCTTCCAGAGCTGAAAGGTATTATTTTCATGCAAACGGCATGTCAAGCTGTGCAACATCAAAAAGGACGCAGGTACTGATCCTAAAATAAATTAATTTAAATTGAAGTAAAGATGGTAACTTTATAAAATGTACATTTAAGCACAGTAACCCAAAGTCAGCAAATATGCTGTGTTTAATTGGTTTTTAGGTCATTCAGGTATCTTAATGTAATTTTTCCGAAGAGAAAGCAACTGTGAACCTTTGTGATCCATGGACATCAGTGCCTGTCACAGTTTTCACTTGACAGAAGGGACATTAACTAATCAGATGGCTTGTGGCAGGAATTCAGTAGACAGAAATGATACATCATGTGCCACAACTGGATTATGGACTTGTTTCTGGATTGCTGTATTGAAGACTGAGCATTTGTCTGAGCAATTAATACTATTACATGTACTTACATTGCTAGACATTAATGTATGCATAGCATGCAAGTGTGCAATTTGCTATCAAGGTCTTCCTGTATTTCTAAAGCTCAGACACCTTTGAAGAAATAGTTCTTCTCCCAGAAGTGATAAAATAAGTTCCTGAACACTTATGATGTTTTGGGGGGCTCATTGGAAAGCAAATATATTTAAAAATCTGAAGCATTCGTAATGGAAATTAGAGAAGCTTGCTTACAGATGATGTTTTAGGTTTTATCATCAATGGTGTAATTTAATGAATGTATTTCTTTGTTCATGACAGTACTTTTAGTTGAGTTTTTCAGCTGGAGTTAAAATAGCATTACCAAAAGAAAGCACAAGACTATATTTATCTTTTTTTGTATTCTAGGCAGTACAACAAGTTACGAAACCTAGTAAAGGATGCCCGTCATGACTGTATTGTGTTTGTTAATGAATTCCACCAGCATTCTTATTTGCCAAGAGAGAAGGGAGAATCCATGGAGAAATGGCAGACCAGGTGTGTTTTCACTTACGTGGTGCTACCCTGATAACATTGTCACATTGTATTTGGGAATATGAGCCTGCATTGGGAATGTGGAAGTTCATACTCTCACTCTGCTTACCTCAGTCCGTTCATGACAACTGAAAGTCTGTCCTTTTGTCATTAAGTGTCAACATTGTTTTCTTAGAAAAATAGACAAAGGTGTACTTAACTAAATGCAATAGTGCTAAAAAAAAAAAAAAAGCTGGATCATTTTAAAGTTACACAGCCATTTTAAGGAATACTTTAGCATAATTAATAGATCAAGCTCACCTTATCGGGCTGTTAGATGTAGCGTTTGGTAGTCTGCAAACACCATGGCATTGGAGTCTTGGCAGTTCCAAATGGCTTTTTACAAACTTTCAACCAGAGGAACAATGCATAGTGTTGCAGCTGGGGCACAAGTGGGTGTATTGGGGAGGAAACATTTTATTTTCCTCTGTTCTCTTGGTGCTTATGTATGGCATATAAAAATTTTTGCAGATACAAGGTTTATGTAGCTTTGAGTATATATCTCAAAACTGTGCATGTTAAACCAAAATCTCATTTATACAAAGCCTACAAATATCTGGCAAGTAACAAATGAAATATGCCAGAAATCTTATTTCAAACTTTGCTTTTCTAGGAGTATTTACAACGCAGCTGTCTGGTATTTTAATCACTGCTTGGGTCAGATGCCAGTTGTTATGGTAACAGAAGATGAAGATGCTATCAAGCAGTATGGAAATGAAACAGAAGGAGTGTTTGTGATTTCCTTCAAGGTAACATGCCAGAAAAATCAAAGAAGGTTTTCTTTACGCTGTGTCAAAATGATGAAGCAAGTGCATTAGAGCCCAATGTATAGTGCAAATCATTTCAGAGTTTACATTTAAGAAACCTATGATGCTGACTCATGTCTTCATTTATCAAAGACAGCAAAGATGTCAGTCATGGGAATGTCATAAAAAATGGTGGCAGTGAGCAAACCAGAGAACTGAAAAGGAAAACAGTCGCTCTAAAGATAGAGGTCATCCTTCTTAGGAGCCCTTTTCATTGTTTTCCTTGTTTTTAAGGAATTGGTGAACAACAGTCAGTTACCTCAGCCAGCTGTCTAAATTGTAGTGCAAGCAATCCATAAACAGCTTAGCCTAGATATCCATCAGCATTATTCTGCTGATTTCCTTTCACTGTGACTACTTTGGATACAGTGATGTGTGAGGAGATAATTCATTCCTCATTAAGCTGTTGATCTCTGATACCACATGTATTCAGTGGGAGTGCACGGGATGTTTATATTTAGCTGTGAAAGGATGCTGAGTAAAAACAGCACCAAGCAGATTTACCTTAAAACTGAATAAAAATGATGATCACAGAATGACAGAATGATAGGGGGTTGGAAGGGACCTCTGGAGATCATCTAGTCCAACTCCCTGCCAAAGCAGGTCCACCCAGAGCAGGTTGCACAGGAACGTGTCCAGGTGGGTTTGAATGTCTCCAGAGATGGAGACTCCGCCACCTCTCTGGGCAGCCTGTTCCAGGGCTCTGCCACCCTCACAGGAAAGAAGTTCCTCCTGAAGTTTTGATGGAGCTTTCTATGTTCGAGTTTGTGCCCATTTCCTCTTGTCCTGTCCCTGGGCACCACTGAAAAAAGACTGGCCCCATCCTCTTGATGCCCTCCCTTTAAGGATTTATAGGTGTTGATCAGATCCCCCCTCAGCCTTCTCTTCTCCAGACTAAAAAGACCCAAGTCCCTCGGCCTTTGCTCTGAAGAGAGATGCTCCAGGCCCCTCATCATCTTTGTAGCCTCTGCTGTCCCCTCTCCAGCAGGTCCCTGTCCTTCTGGAACTGGGGAGCCCAGAACTGGACACAGTGCTCCAGATGGGCCCTCGACAGGTCAGAGCAGAGGGTGAAGTGATGCTTGGGGTTTTTTGAATTGTTAAGAGACAATGGAAAGTGGCCCAAATGTAGCATACAAAGTCATATAAAAAGTGTACAAAATAATAGTGGGTTGCCAGTTTGATTTTTTTTTCCTGCTGTTGCCCTTTACAAGAAATATGTAGCTTGGGTGGGGTATATTGGTGGTAAGAGTTTGTGAATCTCTAGTCTAGGATTCGGTCTTAACAGCTGTGCCTCCTTTGTTGTATTTAGCAAATGAATTGGGTTGAATCTGGAACAAAGCTGTAGAGCAGACACATCCTTACCACGTGGATGTGCTGTTTGAGAATAGTCTATGAGACAGCTCTTATCCTTTGTGGGCTTTCCAAAGGCATTATTAAAAGAACAGAGACCTCTAAATACTCTCATGTTTGTTTACATATGTGCATACAGAATTACTTGGATAACTTTTGGCCTGACTTAAAACCAGCCCATGAACTCTTTGATTCTATACTTCAAGCTCGGCGTGAACGGGAGAGTGAAAGCCAAGAAAACCATGGAAAAGAATATCCTGAGCACTTACCTGTGGAAATATTGGAGGCTGGGATCAAATCTGGCAGATATATACAGGTAATTTGCTCCAGAGAGAGCATCCACAGGACAAAGCAGTCTTCCACTTGGTCCCTTTAGTTGTTGGAATTAGACAAAGAAATATTGCTATAGTGGGAAAAGGGAAAGAAAACACAAAAGCAAGAGTTAGAGGATGGAAGGGATTAGCAGTCTCAAAATATTTCCCCTGCTTCATCTTGTGAACGCCTAGGGTTGTGTTCTTTTCTCCTGGAAAAATGAGAATTTTTTACTCAGGGTCTTAAATTTGCTATAGATTTTTCTTCAGGTTGATATGTGAGATACCTGTAAATTGAGAAACTGGGTGTGATATGAAGCAGCTATATCTCATTCCTAAATATAAAAAATGCTGTACAAGGGCAGCATTTCTTACTTCGTTTGCCCAGAGATTTCTCAGCCAGTGAAATTAATTTACAGTTTTATGGCTGTTCAGGGTCTTAATATGGATTGTTGGTGAAAAAGTGTCCTTCTTTTAAAAATTCAAAGAATTAGAGGTAGTAATTTTTCCTTTTTTGGCAATTTCAGCAGCGAGGTGAGAATAGAGTAGGAACAGAAAGACTGGGGGTTTTCTTTCTTGTAGGAGTAACTCCAGGTTCCATATTAAGGCAGGCAGCAGAAGTACCCTGCCTGGGATTGGAATAAATTTACCAGCTTTGAGCAGTTCTTTTAAATTTGTTCTTAGAGTTCTTTTAAATTTGACCATTCTTTTCCAGAAGTGAGTTCTGCATCGTACGTTCTCCCCCTACAGAGAGAACAGTTATGATCAGAATAACCTACGTATCAATAAAAACTACTAATTTATCTTAAAAATTGTAAGCCCTAAAATTTTATACTTTAAAGTTGCCTATTTAGAGGTGTGACTCTTTCATTCTGTTTATTGGCTTGCTCTTTTCTTTCAGGGTACGCTGAATGTCAATAAGCATAGAGCACAACTGGAAGCTTTTGTTCGACTTGAGGGATTTGGCAGCAAAGAAACAGGTGAAAAGATGATGAGAGGATTTACTCAGTGCCTTTTTGATGCTGCTTGGGCTTGAACCCACGTAGCCATAAGCATGTAGCTGTTGAGCTGTTAAATAAGATGAAAGCTGAGACACTCCAACGCTTGGGTTATTTTCATGGGCTGCGAAGGAGGCTGAAGATGAACTCAGAGGGTGGGCCTCATGAGAAAACAATATGCTTTATGTCCTCCTTCCTCTCTCTTAGTACCTTTGGCCATATTATGGATTTTTGTCCCACCAGCAGGTTTTCCTAGACCTTCCCTGAAGTTGGGCATCGATGCAAATGGTTGTCTCTGTGCTCTGCTCTAACTTCAGATGGCCACTCACTCGACTGAAATAACTGTTTGTGTGGGTGTTGGCAGGATTAGGAAGCTGGTCGTTGTGAACATAATAGGAAAAATGCCTTTTGGATCAAACTGGAACACCAGTATTGTCTTTCTGGTGGGAGTTAGTAATAAATACCTTTGCAGCGTATTATCCTTGCACAGATACATCGTCCCAGCTTTCACTAATAAGTACTTTCACATGTTCTGGTGACAGGCCCTGCAGTCAAACCAGTCTTCAATATATTAATCCCTTTTTTAAACCTTGTTTAGTTCTGGCCTCTGCCCAGAATCCTGTGGCAGTGGTTTCCACACATTATCTCTGTTGTGTGTTTTTAAAGCTGCTGCCTAAGAACAATGAACTCATCCTAGCCCGTCCTGCTTTTTATCCCAGAGATTACGTACAGAATTGCTTAATATCTCCTTTTAAAAAAATGAGAGAAGGGGTTTAATTTTCTTAACAACATTAATTACTTGCCAATAGTGCATTTTGGAAGAAATCATTTTGCAAATGTCATTGTTATTTTAGCAGAATGCTGCCAAGAGTAGGGATTTGAATTTTTTAGCGTTTTATAGTTCTCTTTATTTTTAAATTTAGAACTTCGAAGCGACATCCTTATTTATGGGGCCAAAGCTCGCAATCGTGCCATCCATGGTGATGTGGTGGCTGTTGAGTTACTGCCTCTGCAGGAGTGGAAGGGAAGGACCGTTGCCCTTTGTGAAAATGAGAGCGAGGACAAAGCACCCGCAGACACCACTGGTGACCCCATGCCCACAGGTAAGGCAGTGGTAAGGTGTTTTGTGACGGTCACCTCTCTCCCTTGCTCCAAGCTGGGATGTACTCTCCATCATACTGTCCCTCCCCTCCATTTCTGGGATTGTCCCATGTTTTGCACCATAGTAAATTTGATGTGATTCTCCCAAATGAAAGCATTCTAACATACCCCACCCAACAAAAAGGCCACTAGATTCTTTCTACGTGCGACCCCCTCCCTTTTTTTTCTCTTCTATTTATAGCAATAGCTGAATTATTGTAGTTATCTTCCTAAAATAATTGAGTTTGGAATAGGTTAACTACCCAAACACATGCTGTCACTCTTCACAGCTCTACAAGAAACGAACTGCCATTTTAATAGAGACCAATTTACCAGAATGTGCACTCAGGTCCTCTGCTATCACTGTTGATTATACAGAAAGATAACAGCATCCTTTTTATTCCTTGATGATGAATAATGTTCAAGATGAAGGGTGGTTTTTTTTTGTTAGGTGAAGAAATAGCCAGCTCCCATTACAATGGGACCAGCCTGTGTACCATGAGAACTTAGAGTCTTATTTGAAAATATTACTCTGCAGGCATAGCTACATCTTAAAATTTTGCTGAGGTCACAGGTAAAAGTTTTAGGAGATTCATTTTCTTCCTGCAAGAAAATGCTGTTTGGTTTTGATCTTTGCTATTGAAATTTTTCTGTATTTTTTACTCGAATTGGCCACATTTCAGTAGTAGTGGGAACCTCTCAGAATAATTTATGTACTGTATCAATTGAAATCTATACAATGAGTTAGTCTCCACATAAATAAAAGCTCATTAAAATCTGGCTGTGCCAACAATAATTTATAACAAACTTGTTATGTTGTCTCCATGCCATATGTTGTTAGCAATTGTGATACAGATCTGGGGACACATTTGTTCATATCACAAAACAATGAGTTCTGTACCTCCCACATATTTGCTTTCATGTTCCTGTTTAACTCTTTAATGTAACAGCCAACAATGTTGCTTATTAAAAGGTAAAGTTGTTGGAATAATTCAAAAGAACTGGAGAGATTATGTGGTCACTTTCCCCTCTAAAGAAGAGAACCAGTCCCAGGGCAGGAACACGCAGAAAATCCTTGTGACACCTTGGGACTATCGAATTCCCAAAATCCGGATCAGCACCCAGCAAGCTGAAGCATTGCAGGTAACTTGACAGAAGTGTTTCTCTAGTCTGTGTTCCTACAAAATTGTGTGGGTGTTTTATGCTCCGAGGATGTTTCCTTGGCAAAAACATGGGTAAAACTATTAATAAAGTTAAGTCTCTGAGCATAGTTCAATTTCTGCCTTGAAGGAAGTGTTTGGTTCCTGTCAAAACTGCATCAGCTTCAGGTAATAAAGCTTATTTGAGTTCTGAATTTGGCCACAGTTCGGGTCCCCTGACCATTTCTGTACTACTTGTTCTGTTTTTTTCTGATAAAGGTCGAATATGGGATAAAAATTGTAATAGCTCATGTGGCTTTGTCGGAGTGTTTAGAGTTGCCAGTCTCTGGACTGCATTGTTTGCCCCTGAAGGAGTGTTTCTATTGCTTGCTGTTCTGACAGAATTGTCTTGCTGCAGGACTACAGGGTTGTGGTGCGTATTGATTCTTGGGAGTCGACTTCTGTGTATCCGAATGGACACTTTGTGAGAGTTTTAGGAAGAATTGGGGATCTGGAGGGGGAAATTGCAGCTATTCTGGTGGAGAACAGCATTTGTGTCGCCCCTTTCTCAGAAATCCAGGTTAGTCTCTGGCATTAGATACGTTCTTCTCTGTTATTTTCCAGGGTCTTGTTTAAAGAGAGGGACCCTCTTACAGCTGAGTGACCTAGTTGCCAATGGGTTTTTGAAAGCTGAAAACTATAGGTTGGTTTTCTGGACTTACTTTTGGATCAGTGGTTCTGTAGATACTACGAATTTTCAAGTCAAGAGTGATTTTAAGACAGTATGTTTGCTACGTGGAGAAGATTAAAATCTCTTAATTCTAATTTGAAGTAGACTATTAAGATATTACTGTCTTTAATATTTATTTATGGTACTGATCCTAAAGGCACAGACCTACTGAAATCCTTTTATCTTCAACCAGGAGAGGAACCAGCTCTCATAGATATTGTACATACAATTGATTAAAAGGAAAAGAATGTACAAAAACCAATATAGAGTGGTGGTGTTTGCCAGAGCTGCAATATCACCACAATAATATCAGTTGTTAATAATATGTGTAACATTCTTTTCAATTGTTTCATAATTTCTGTGAAGTAAATGTAATAGAGTGACTTGGAAAATGCAAGGAAAGAACAATTTCTCTACAATCAAAAAGTACACAGAACAATGAATGGACTAGAAAAGGAGGAGCTAAATCTAGTTTGTTAGCTTCGTTTTGTAGAAAAGATATAATTGTGTATTCATCCATAATGTTTTTGTGCAGATGAGTGAAATGCCTGTGAGTTCTTCAAAGAATCCATGGAAAGTGAATCCAGAGGAGGAAAAAAGGCGCCTTGACTTGAGAGACACACACTTGATATTCAGCATTGACCCTAAGGGCTGCGAGGACGTGGACGACGCGCTCTCCGTGAGGGCTCTGCCTAATGGCAACCTCGAGCTGGGTGTCCACATCGCAGACGTGACCCACTTTGTGGCAGCAAATTCTTACACTGATGTTGAAGCCAGAGCAAGGTAAATTATTTTCTAAAAATTAGAGAATTTACAGTTTGTGATGCTGCCGTAAGGAAACATTGAGAAACATTGGAAGGGTGGAAACGTTCGTTCTTCTTTCATGCCATGGAAACATCTCATTAAAACCAATATATAACTAATGATATTTCACTTTTATTTGGATAAAATACGCCTACTGGGGAGGAAACTGCTTTCTGACCTATTGCTTTACCCTTTTACTATCAAATTGTTCTTTTCCACAAATTTATAATTTATCATTCCCCAATCACTGATGTTTGCTTTATAGTCTACTTTAACATTGGTGATTTGAAGCATTTACAAACCACTTGTTTGCATTCCAAGGGAGAGGAATCTTCACACAGAACATAGAACACCCACAAATTGAACTAAGTCTTACATGAATTTAATTCCAGAGGTATTTGTCTGACTTAAGTTTCAATACCTAATCTTGTGATTTAACATGCCAGCTATTTTGTTCATCTTTTTCTGTTATTGCCAGTCTTTTGAACTTAAACTGCTGAATCACTTCATGAAATGTGTTCTTTGTAGATGCAAAGAAATGTAAATGTTAGAGCTAGCAGAGGTGTTTTGATTTAACTGTTAAGTGACTGTAGTTGAGCATATTTGTGCAGCTCCAACTCTGGCCTTAATGGCAGTTGAAGATACCAAGGCAGGCAAAATGAGGCTTGAACTATGCAAATAGTTATTTAAATAATTTGACTTTGGTATTGCACTTGTGTGAATTCTGTAACAATAACCTTTTAAAATCATGGTACATGCTGTGTTTGGCTGAAGTCAGGCTTATACTGCAAACTGCTTGGGAGACACACACCAGTGAGTCCTTGGGAGAAGAACAGTAAATCTGTTTTATTCCCCAGGGCAACAACTTATTATTTAGCGGATCGTCGTTACGACATGCTGCCCTCCGTCCTGAGTGCTGACGTGTGCTCCCTGCTCAGCGGAGTCGACAGGTAAGAGTTTGTGTAGTAACTGCTTGGGTGCTGGCTCTTGGAATTCTGGGCTGCTGTCTGTAAGCCAAGCTGTATGGAGTCAGAAAAAGCTGAAATACACTATAATGCAATGACTGACTTGTCTTCCAGTAATGTTTCCCCGTACTCTTAGCAATTTGCTTCGGATTTAAACAGCAACCTAAGGGTTTTTCACATGGGTTTCAGTCTGGAGTGTGTGTACCCACAGGAATAGTCACAGTTTTTACTACTGTTCTGTTCCTCAAACGTGCTGTTACCCCCTTTCATTACAGTTTATGTGGTTAATTGACTGGTTGGTGTGAGGATATGCAGGGTGCAGACATGTTCATTGTGAATGCATCTGACCAAAAAAATAAAAATGAATAACAGGGCTACAAAGATGATGAGGGGCCTGGAGCATCTTATGAGGAAAGGCTGAGGGACTTGGGTCTTTGTAATCTGGAGAAGACTGAGGGGGGATCTGATCAACACCTATAAATACTTAAAGGGTTGGTGTCAGGAGGAGGGGGCCAGTCTGTTTTCATTGGTGCCCAGGGACAGGACAAGAGGAAATGGGCACAAACTTTTGAACATAAGGAGTTCCATCCAAACATGAGGAGGAACTTCTTTACTTTTGAGGGTGGCAGAGCTCTGGAAGAGGCTGCCCAGAGAGGTGGTGGAGTCTCCTTCTCTGGAGACATTCCACACCTGCTTGGACACGTTCCTGTGCCACCTGCTCTGGGTGGATCTGCTCTGGCAGGGAGTTGGACTGGATGATCTCCAGAGGTCCCTTCCAACCCCGTGTGATTCTGTGATCCTATAGCAATCACTACTGCAGGGTAGCTGTGCTTTAAAAGAGATGTGGCCTTATATCTCAGGGAAAGTACTGCCCCAACAGATGGAACATGCTGCTGACATGGTTGGTCCTCACTTATCAAATTGTGATACAGGAGACTGAAAGGCAAGTGCATCAGTTAGTGGCACCGCTTTGTTTACAAACCAATGTAAAACATAGTTTTATCAAGAAAAGGATGTTTCCAGTAAAAAAAAACCAAACAGAATGAAACCTGTAAATTTGTTAACAGTTCTATGTGCTCGAACTGATAGTTTAAGTCAACCAGAAGTATTTGTAGAATTGTGATTTTATGTTGAAGGTATGCTGTGAGCGTCTTGTGGGAGCTAGAAAAGGAGTCGTATGAAATGCTGAGGGTCTGCTACAAGAAATCCATCATTCGCTCTGCCTACAAGCTGGTTTACGAAGCAGCACAGGCACTAATAGACGGAGACACAAGCGTCGTCGGTGATATCCCAGAACTGGAAAACTTGGATGAAAGAACTCGACAGAAGAAACTGGACGAACTGGTTTGGGCAATATCCAAACTCACGGATATAGCCCGAGCCGTCCGAGCTCGGCGGGACAGCCGTGGTGCTCTGGAACTAGAAGGGGTAGAAATCAGAGTGCAGTTGGATGATAAAAACAATATCCACGATCTCATCCCCAAGCAGCCGCTGGAGGTGCACGAGACGGTGGCAGAATGTATGATTCTTGCCAACCACTGGGTGGCAAAAAAGATCTCAGAGGATTTTCCTCACCAGGCTTTGCTGCGTCAGCACCCTCCGCCACGACAGGAGTTTTTTACTGAGCTTCGAGAGTGTGCCAGCGCCAAAGGCTTCTCCATAGACACACGGTACCTTTTATTACTTATCTTCAGTGCTTTAATTAAAGCTAAGCAATTAACTGTTTGTCTACGTGAGCATCACAAAGCATTGCAGTTCTCTGTATTGATGTTAATGGACACTCTGTAGCAATTGTGCTGGTCTCTTCTCACAGGTAATTAGTGACAGAACGAGAGGGAATGGCTTCAAGCTCCAACAGGGGAGGTTTAGATTGAACATTAGGAAGGAATTTTTCACCCAAAGAGTGGTCGGGCATTGGAACAGGCTGCCCAGGGAGGGGGTGGAGTCACCATCCCTGGCTGTGTTTAAGGGCCGTTTAGATGCAGTGCTGAGGGACATGGTGTAGGGGAGGACTTTGTAGAGTAGGGGAGATGGTTGGACTCGATGATCCCAAGGGTCTCTTCCAGCCTAGATAATTCCATGATTCTATAATTCTTAAAAAAACCAAAACTTTACCATAACGTTTCTGTGAGCAGGAGATGATGCTCTAAACAAGAGAGGCTGCCTGTTTTCTGGACTGAAAAGGCACCATCTGAATAATTTTAAACGTACCCAAACAGAATGTGTGCAGTCAGTGAGCAGGGGTTAAGCTCTGGAATAGCCTTGTTTGCACTGTATTTCCTATAATAGTAGTGTAAGAGAGTCCTTGTTTAAATCAAGTTAATTCTCTGCAATACAGCCATTTTAAATAACTCAAAATAAATCAGAATTACCTTGTCAACATACTGTGAGAGGGGGTGGGAGCTTCATCACAGGAATAGCATCGTTTTCTTCAGAATTAACCCTTTTTTGACAGGTCTAACAAAGCATTGGCCGAGTCTCTGGATAAAGCAAACGACCCCTTGGATCCAATAGTAAATAAGCTGTTGCGATCTATGGCCACTCACGCCATGTCTAACGCCCTGTACTTCTCCACTGGCTCTTGTCCTGAAAATGAGTTTCATCATTATGGTATTTTTGTCACTTTTATTGCTATTCCTGTTATCATTTCTGAACTAGTCGGGGGGAGGCAGCTGATGGCTGTGATTGCTTATGGCTGCTTCCTTTTTCATTGGTAGGCCTTGCCTTGGAGAAGTACACGCATTTCACTTCTCCCATTAGAAGATACGCTGATATCGTTGTCCACAGGCTCTTGATGGCAGCGACTCTGAAGGAAACTAAAGGAGATGTTAAGGATTATATCTTCAGTCATAAGGATCTCCAGGAATTGTGCAGACACATTAATAACAGAAACCGGGTAAGATGGTCACGGTGCGTGTCCCCTTCCGTTTGTACACTGCCCAAGGAATGGGGTACCAGTTCCTGGCTGAGCTTTTGGATACTACGGTGACATAATATCACTTCATTGTTATTTATAATGCTTTTATAATGCTTTTAGGCATTATAGTAGTAAAAGCGACTTCATATTTCACCTGTACTACTCGTACTCTTTCCTTTTAGGTGTAATTTTTCTAGGGGACAAGTAATGGGAAAAAGAAATTATGAAAATCAAATTCAAACAAGCTCGTTGAAATATTTACTTAAGTTGCTTTGTCTTTTCTTTTTTGGGGGGTGTTTGTAGGCAGCCCAGCGTGCTCAGAAACAGTCCACTGAACTCTTCCAGTGCATGTACTTCAAAGACAAAACCCCAGAAGCGGATGAGCGCTGCATCGCAGACGGTGTGATCTACTCGGTGCGAACAAACGGGGTGCTGGTTTTTGTACCAAGGTGAGTTGGTCAGAGCTTGGACTGAGCTTAAAAACAAGATGGAATTGTTACAGGAATGCCACGGGGACGGCTCTGGTCCTTGAGGAAGGAAGTGTTCACAGCAGGGGCTGGCACTGGCCGGTGACTGCATTTTAGATTTTTGTTGTAAATCAAAAGCAGGGCTTTTCTGTGCATCGACTGAGAAGGGGTTCCTGTGAGGAAATGGTGAGACTGTGCTGCACAGTGTGTATTGACTTCAGAACATTAACAGGACATTTTTTGTCCAAGCAGCTGCTAGGGCAGAACAATGACTGGAATATTTTGTGTGTTACTGGTAGCAACGCTGTCTGCCCAGCGAGTTAACAGGTACAAGAGACATAGGCACAAAAACTTTAATTTAGAAAACAAACAAAACAAACCTCCCCACAACAACCCAAACCCCATTTGACAGGGATGTTAAGTAAAGCAAACTATTACATGAACACCCTAGACTTATATAAAAATCAGCCTGAGCTGCTTGGTCCTGGCTGCAGCCTGGGCTTGGCTCCAAACCAGTCAGAACCTCCCCAGCCACCAAAGGCTTCCTGCCAGAGAACCCAGTGCAACTTCACTGCTGTTTTTTTAAGTAACTTCTTCTAATGGAGAAGTGTTTCCTCACTCTGCTTTCTGGAATAACCTGTAACGCTGCTCCTCTTCTATTATCAGCCATTCCAGGCTCCACCCAACACATAAGATCATGGATCACTGACTGTATTTTACTTTTGCTTCACTGCTTTCAAGACAATTTGATCACTGCCTTCATGCTGTTTTCCTCTACTCTAAGGGTTTCTTTGACAATGCACATCCATGTCCCCAAAGCAGGATTATCAGGGTACAGTGTTTGCCCCTTCATGGTGCTTTTATACAATCCCAGCTCACCTTCTCTTAGTCTCAAAATTAAGAGAACTGATAAGGATGAAATGAAAATTCTAAGAACAGCTTCTGTCTGCTTTTTTGTAGATATGGCATCAAAGGTGCTGCATATATGAAAAACAAGGAAGGCTTAGTCATCTCTTGTCAAGGTGATGGGAGCTGTGAGTGGAAGCCTGGATCACTTCATCGCTCTCAGAATAAAATCACTTCCACGACAAGCACTGGAGAATCAGTTACACTAAGCCTTTTTGATCATATTACAGTGAGTATTTAATCTGAAGGAAGTAAGAGGAGATACTTTATTTCTGATGGTGCTAACTTTTATATTGCTTTTAAGGTGAAAATCCTCGTGCAGACTTCCCGCTGCCACGCTGACACCATCAAGCTGGAAATCATCAGGAATGCACCACACCAGACCTCAGGGACAGAGGTTTCCCAGAAGAATTTCCAGGTGGTGAAGTCTGAGTTGGTGAAAGAAGTGAGTGAGTCAGCAGAGGCAGCCCAGCGCGCCCAAGAGAAAGCAAGCATTGAAGTGATGGATGAAGACTACAAGGAGTACTGCCAGACCAAGGGGGGCAGCCTCTACCAGCTGCTGGAGGAGATCAGGGACCTGGCCCTGTTAGATGTTTCAGCTGACGTTAGAACTTGAACTGGCTCCCAGCACCAGCTCATTCCTCACATTCTGCTTCTACTCACTTTGTGTGGGTGGGGGGGCGGTTAAAGCAGTCTATTTAAATTTTCAGGTGTCATTTTAATAAGAAATGAAATGTTTATTTAAAATAAGAACTATTTTTATCTGATTATGAACATGTATAAGTTTTTGAAATATTTTTATACATGATAAACCTCCTCTTCCAGACTCGAGTGTGGTGAATTCTTTGAACTGTCATTGAAAAAGTTACTTTCCAGTGGTTACTTTCCAGTGTTGTCCATAAATTCTTAAAACTGGAGTATTTCCTACAGCTGTTGGCTCTCCCACTAGAGTTTACTGAGTTACACTCACAGCTACAAGGATATAAAAAGCAAACTCCTTCACACTAACCTAGAGTATAGAATTTTGTTTATTGAAATCCTCTCATTGCTCATCTGGCATAAAATAACACCTGTTGACAGGAGCTTGTTTCACCTGCTCTAAGTTCTGCTCTCATCTTAGTTCACTTTCTGTTACAAACACCTCTACCCCGGGCTCAGGGCTTTCCCTTTTTGGTGATTCTGGTTCATTCCATGAACGGGAATTGCAAGAAGGAAAAACAAGACTGTAAGAAGAGGATGAAACAAAGCCCGGAGCCAGGGAACAAAATCAGCCAGAGGAAGATAACTAATGTGGTCAAAACCAAAGCAGATTCCCCCAAGGGATGTACCATCTGGGAAGAGAGGTGGGGGAAGGCTGGAGGGCACATACTTGTAACAGCATCATCCAAGAAGTTCAGGTTTAACTTCTGAAATTTAATAGCTTCCATTTTATAAGAAAAAGATACAGGTACTTGATAACAAAGTTTAAAAAAAGCCCAGGCAGACCTTTTCAGACATAGTCCTACCTACTATTATATATACCCTCTATTAAAAGAAAAAAACTATAAATAGCACTTTAGTAGAAACTTCCACCTGTCAATAGCCCAGTACTTCAGCCTGATGTCAATTGTAAACAAAATTCAAAGTGGATCAAAACCTCATTAACATTTCCTAGAGAATGTTGGGAGAGGTGGAAAAGATTTCTCCAACAGAGATGAAGAACTTTGTTCTGTCTTCCAGTGTAGGGAGTTGCTCATCTGCAGTTCCAAGAGAAGAGTCTGTACAGCCATAAAGGGGTCATGGCAAAGACTCTGTAAAGCTGCTGGAATCAGAGTGCAAAGAGCCAGCAACATTTCAACACTGTGATAGTACATAAACCAGTGGGGCTTTCAGTCAAGAAAGTCATTCAAAGTCTGGGGAAGTGTTACAGCTTTTCACTGGCACATTCCAGTTCTACCTCTCCAGCTTCAGCTTCTGTAACAGCAGCCTTGGTTGTGGTAACTTGAGTGTCTTCAATAAGGTCTGTAGGATCCTGAGCAACTGAGGTATTAAATTCCTCTTCCAAGTGAGGAGCAGAGAGCTCTGTTAAAAAAAAAATTAAAAATGAAGTCATAAAGCAATTTCCTACCACAAGACAAGACAGCTGCTGTGTTTGATGGCAGTTTCTGTCACCAGAATCCCACCCTGTGGGAAAGCCAACTCCAGAGATGAGCAGCAAGTTGAGTTTCAGTTCAGACAAAGCTGTCACAAGTAGGGAGAGCAGTTCTGACTGAGCTTCAGAGCGAGTCTGACGACAGGAACACGGTTTGTATTTGAGAGTTGCCCATTTTACTACTCACTATAAACTGCTACCTCAGTGAAGTGACTCAGCAGCTCAGTTGAGTCCGAGCTCCTCAGGCTACAGACCTCCCCACGGACACCAAGTCACAGAGCTGATTACCGTTGGGCTGGGACTGGCTGTTACTCTGCATCTTCGCTTGCCTGCGTTCCAGGGCCAGCTGCCTGTTCCTCTGGATTCGCTGCTGTTGCTCCTCCGTCAGAGTTGTAGTAGACAGAGAACTGAGTCCTTCTGCGTTGTCAGAGCAGGGACGTACCTCCTCAGGGGCTGGATCCAGGCCATTGCTTTCTCCTGCACCATCTGGTTAAAATGGGGGGGGGTTGAGAGGGAGAAGAGGGGCAGAAATCAACCTTTTCAACCCAGAGAGATCTACTGTTAGATATCTGTCAAGAGAACGTTTATAAAGCATTTCCGTGATCTACATTTTATTGACAGCTGAAGATCATTCCAGTTTTAATGGGCAATTTTCTGCCTGGGTCCACATGCCTGATACTCAGAGCATACAACAAACGCTTATCAGACATCCCAAACACACACTTTAATGGGCAATTTTCTGCCTGGGTCCACACGCCTGATATTCAGAGCATACAACAAATGCTTATCAGACATCCCAAACACACAACAATAAATGCCTGCATTCAGAGAGGCACAGCTCTGTGTGTGGTCAGCAGTCACGACTTCACAGAATCACAGAATCTTCTAGGTTGGAAGGGACCTTAAAGATCATCTTGTCCAACCATCAACCTGACTGACAAAAATAGACACCCACACAACAAACAAGGAGCATCATCACTAAACCATCCCTCCCAGCAACTCATCAACCCAGCTTTTGAACACCTCCAGGGATGGGGCCTCAACCACCTCCCTGGGCAGCCCATTCCAATAAAAGAGAGCTGGTAAATTCAGGCAATCCCTGCTGAAAGGCCAAATAATTTTCTTCCCACCCCTCCTCACGCGGCACTGCCCTCTGGGAAGCCAGCAGGGACTAGTGATGGGCATCAGAAGTTTGAACACAAACACTGAATGACCTCCTCACGCGGCACTGCCCTCTGGGAAGCAGCAGGGACTAGTGATGGGAGTCAGAAGTTTGAACACAAACACTGGATGGTCAGTTTGGAATTCTGCTATCATGGAATATTTACTCATTTGCCAACATTAACACATGCAAAACGGAAGCGGTTCAACTCCATTAGACAAACTTCACCCACCAACAGAGAAGCAGGGCACGTTTTCAAGAGTGCCTAAGGCCAAGTATGCTTGTGCCTCTGCACCACTTTAGGCCTGTGAATAGAGAAGTTGCTGACATCAAGGTTTTGGATTTTAACACAGTACTCAAGCTGCAGCTTTTATTTCAAAACTGTAAGGCACCTACTCAAGTTTTTCCACTGCAGCCTGACCAGCTGGAGCAGCACGCTCACTACACTCGCTAACAGGGTTCAAGAACAGACCAGCACCATCACCCCATCGGCGTATTTGTATTTAAATACAAATGTATGGAACCATCGCACAGAAAAATCTGATCACTCTACAGACCCTGTCGGCAGGAACCATTTGCTTTACTGTTCGTGGCTGCTCACGGCTGCATTCCACTTCTAGCAAATGCAGCCCAGAGTGAAGACAGCCACGGGCCACCAACTGCCCAAAGGCCCTCCCCACAGCTGGTTAACCACCTCCCCAAGCTGGTTAACTTGGCCTCCAGAACGCCCTTCCCAAGCACTGGTTTGTCTGGAGGCTGGGATTCAAGGGAAGACAAACCAGACAAAGGGCAGATCCTTGTTTCAAGAGAGACTCACAGTGAAAGTGTGAACACCTGTGAAGCAGCTTAGGAACGCCTGTGAAATTCTCTCATTTCTGCTAATAAAGATTCTTTCAAACTACCAAGTGAACTCTGCTCCCTCTTTTTATTAAAAAAAAATAAATAAATTGTTTATTTCGAGTCTGTCTAAAACCATCATCTGATTAGAAGAGGCTCTTGAATTATCTACTTGTTAAGTGGCTGGATTTTCATATAAGACACACTCAGTAGTTATGCCAGGAGCAACCCATAGATGTAACAGTGCACAAGCATTAACGAGTCCTTGTGGTACTAACACTGTAACAGGCGTGTGATTCCTGCATTAGAAAGATCCAAGAGCTCTTCAGATGCTCACTCACAAGAGTAAACACAAACCAATACCTTCACTTGATAATTGCAGTTTTGGGATTTAGTTGGTTTTTTTGCAAGAATATCCAAGAGCTCTTCAGATGCTCACTCACAACAGTAAACACAAACCAATACCTTCGCTTGATAATTGCAGTTTTGGGGTTTGGTTGGTTTTTTTTGCAAGAACGTTGCTAACAGTGTGGATAATACCCATTTTCAATTTCCTTTCAGTATACCACACAGCTTTACCTATTTTTGTATATACATGCAGGATTTTAGGATTACAAAACTGACCTGGTACTCTAAGTCCCACAGAAACCTCATTTTAAAACAGAGGACTACTCAACAATTTCTTCTACATCAGAAAGTGTGTCATGATCATTAACTTCTGGTCAGTAGGAGGTGACAAAGTAATTTTAAGCACTGAACTACTGAACCAAGAGCACAACGAGCGTACCTTCATTACTCGCAAAGTCTTCATGTAAAATAGGAAGATCAAGTCTAATCCGCTTTAGGCAGGTCTGCAAATGAGAAATTAAAATACTTGTATTTCATTTGCCACAACAGATTTTGGGCAACACTGATATGTTTTTAATACTACTCCCAATTTCTCTTTACACTTTATTACTCTGAAAAAAATATTCAATTTACTACGCATCTGTTTGACCCACAACTTTTAATGCTGTGGATCACTTTTGCTAGTCCTTCATCCACCATCCAGCCAGGTGAAGCAGCATTCTTTGTAACTCCTCTTTTGCAAACACTAAAAAACAAACTAACTCACCCCAAAACCAACCAGTTCCAGCACTCTTAAGGACACTACTTTGGTTAAAGACGTACTGGAAAAGTCAAAGCCAATTCTCTGGGGCACTAATTCAAATAAAGAAAGCTTATATCTAAATGTAAACTTAAACACTGGAAAGAGCTTTTTTAAAGAAGAGATAAATTAATTTAAGTATTATTATACTCCTTAGCATTATGCACAACTTAAGTCCTCTTTTGTTGCTTAATTGCTCTCCTAAACCTACCTCTTACACTATTCAGTGCTGCCCAATGAGACACTGACAGGACGAACACGTACCTGAACTTCCTTTTTGTTTCCCAAAGACTCTACTCTGTCAATAAAATCCTCAAATTGCAATTTTGGAAATAATCTATGAGCCCAGTGTTCCATATGTCGTATGAGTGTCTTCAGGTCCTCCGCCTAAAATATAAACGGAGACATCCAGCTGGTAAAAACTGGCCAAGTCAGGAGACTGCAGAGGGAAACAGGACAGGAACGTTTCTGAAAACATTAGGCATCTGCAGCTCAAAAGTCTCTTGAAAATTTAAGTGATATGAATGTGTGGGTACCCTTTCCTCCCACGACTGTCTGTAAGCGTCATTTCAAGGGATTTCTCATCCTATGAGAGGGATAACGATCCAAGTTTGGGAAGAGCATTTGTACACACTGTGTAACACCCGACAGGCTTCTGAGAAGTCACACTTCAACAACCTAGGTCTGAACCCAAGCAGAAAAAAACCAAATCCATAGGGGCACAGCTGGCATTTATTTTGCTGTTTAGAACACACTGACATGTACATCTAAATAACCTCATCTAGAAAAGATTTTTGCTCAGATCAGCAGTATTGCCTGGTTTTCTTTGTGCTCCCAATTTGTAAAGAGAAAAGTTATACCATGAATTTTCACTGTAAACCAGAGGTGCACAGGCATCCTTGCAAGTACGGCAACAGTCTGATGATATTTAAAGAGACAATGAGACAGCTCATAGAGAAAATACCACTTTCTCTTTGCTTAAGTGGTATGTCACACTATTTTCAATGTTAAAAAAGCTGAGGTATCATAAAAGCAGGAAGGTTTTCACTAAACGGAGGAAACTGATGATGAAATGAGATGGCAGAGGCGTTCCAGATGTAGCAGGCAGTCTTAATAAGACTGTTCCAATTTAAAAAAAACAAACAAACAATTCTATGGACAATACTAAGAGCCACAGGCATGGTTTTGATTTGTTTGTTGTTGGAAATTTTTTTTTTAAATTTGCAACTACAAACCCTATCAGCTGTTTAGAACACACTGACATGTACATCTAAATAACCTCATCTAGAAAAGATTTTTGCTCAGATCAGCAGTATTGCCTGGTTTTCTTTGTGCCCCCATTTGTAAAGAGAAAAGTTATATCATGAATTTTCACTGTAAACCAGAGGTGCACAGGCATCCTTGCAAATATGGCAACAGTCTGATGATATTTAAAGAGACAATGGGACAGCTCGTAGAGAAAATACTGTTTTCTCTTTGCTTAAGTGGTATGTCACACTATTTTCAATGTTAAAAAAGCTGAGGTATCATAAAAGCAGGAAGGTTTTCACTAAACGGAGGAAACTGATGATGAAATGAGATGGCAGAGGCGTTCCAGATGTAGCAGGCAGTCTTAATAAGACTGTTCCAATTTAAAAAAAACAAACAAACAATTCTATGGACAATACTAAGAGCCACAGGCATGGTTTTGATTTGTTTGTTGTTGGAAATTTTTTTTTTAAATTTGCAACTACAAACCCTATCAGGGTACAATCAAATACCGTTAGAAAGGTGGCTAACCAGAGTGTAATATCAATTCTCCCCATACCAGATGGGCAGCAACCTGTCAATTCTAGATTAAGCTCTCAGAAGACAAACAAAAGCAAAAACAAAAACGAAAAAAAACTCACTATGTCTTACCTCATGCCCCTTACCCTTGAACTTTACGTTATCAAACATGTGTCTCAGGGCTGGAAGTCCTCTTTCTGAAATTAGCCTGGTGAAAGGAAATAGATGAAGTTATTTGAAACCCATACTTACTTTATCTAATTAAAAACAAACCAACAACAAAACCAAATGCCCCACAAACCACCTCCTACTCCTTTAAATAGTCTAAAGTTACAGAGCTCTATTTGAAAAATGTACAGAATTAGAAGTCATTAAGAAAACACACAAAATAGGATGAAGACTCTGTAATGTAAGACAAAAGACTTACTTGAAAAATTATCTGTACATATATTTCTAGTCGAAGGAGCTTTTTTGTTACATGGAAAGTCAGTTCTACAATCTACATCGGCCAAGTAAAACTAATTAGATGCTTGAACAGAGCATCCACCTGTGATATCATTAACTTCATCAGTATATTTCAAGCAGGAGAGACTGAATGCTCAGATTCTTTCCCTTGCTTGTAAAGAACTTACACCAGTTTTAGTGATAACAGCAAAGACAATATTAAAATCCTTTATCTTTATACAGAGTTTATCCAGCTTGTACATAAGTCAGGTTTAAGTGTACTTTAAGGAGTACCTTACAATCACCATTATATGGAGGTTTTATTTTGAAACACACTTTATTTAAAGAAATCTACAGTACTATGTTTGAGCAAAATAAAGAAAATAAAGCTGAAAAAGTCCTATATGCAAATAATAAATATATCTTAAATTATTAGTCATGCACTAAGTCCCAAAGAGACTTCAAGAAAGTTACATTAGTAATAGCATTATACAGGTAGGCCAGGGATAAAAAGATTGAGATAAAGCACACAAGTGGCACTTTCACCTCCCAAACTCATGATCTTTGACTTGACTGGATCCAAGAAGGGATCACAGTAACCGTACCCACTGTCCCACTGCCAAAGTATACACCAAAGTAATCACAGAAAGAACATTCTGTAAAAAATTACCTCTGGGCATCTAGTTTAGGCATTGGTCTTTTAACTGCTTTCCGTGGAGCTGCAGCAGAATCCTTTGTTTGTGACTGCTGGTTTCCATCTGGTTCTAATAAAGACAATAACAAACTTTAAGTATGTAATTCAAATGACATCAACTAGAATTATGTCATGGAAATTTTAAGTTTCTATCCCATCAAAAAGACAACCGTCACGAGTATTCCACTGTAGGTACAGCACTCCAAACAAATGTCTGCATATTTCACCTTGCTTCTCCCACAAGATGGATTGGAAATAAATCTCTCTCTTCAAAATATACTGAGAAACCAACTTTTTCTAGCAAAGTAGGTTCCTTAAATGGGAAAATTCCTAATCTTAGAACTTTTATATTGTATTTCTGATGAGAAACGTAGTGAAAATAGATACTGCTTCTAAAAGTTAAGAAACTCAAATTATCAATAAACATAATTTGCTAGGTGTGTCCCAAAATTTCCACTGATAGAAAGACAGACTTAAAACCACCAGCATTGTCTTCAAAAAAAACTAGGTGTGTCCCAAAATTTCCACTGATAGATCTGAAAGACAGACTTAAACCACCAGCACTGTCTTCAAAAAAAATTTAAAAAAATAAAGAGGCAAGGTGTGACCACATCAATGTGTCTTTTAAGAACCAAAGTCCATACACTTTTTGATTAAAGCCAGTAGATTATTTGACTGCAACAGACAAGGCACCAGTACCCACCTCATCTCAGAGACAGAAATTAGTTATCAAGCTGATTTCTTCACCTACTTTGTTACTTTGAACACCCGGAATTCAGAAGTTGTCCTTTATCTACCAAGGAACTAAATCCATCCAAAAACCCTACTTTCTAATGATCAGACAGAGCAGGGATGGAAGAAAACATGTTTAACGCTACAGGTAAATATGAGCTGAAGTAAACAGTAGTAAAAATAAAATCTAGATACTTCCTATTAGCTTTTTCAGTACACAGTAAGATCTTTTCAAATACAAGTAATTGAGTCTTACTGTCCCAAAGAATCTTGGATTTTTCCTAGGTCACACTCTCTATAAAACCTACCAACGCCTCCCTGGAATACTAGATTTAACACTCTAAAATCCAAGGCATAAATAGTAATTATAGATCACTGCTGTATAATTCTCTTTACCAACATTTTTTCAGAAGAGCTTGAATTTTATGCAGGTTCATTTGTGTGCATATGTTCTGGAATCTACAAAAATAAGCTTCTCCCACAAGCTCAAAGGCATAGAAGCAATAACAATCTAAACTTATTAATTGCTTTCTTATCTACCTGAGGCTATTTTTTTATGCAGCAAACTTGTTAGCAAAATACAACACCAGTTTTACTGATATTCCAGCATTTCATTGTCTAGACTGCAAAATGTGACCGTTAGGGGCCACAGGTGTTCACCTCCATTAGCTTGAGCCCATTCAGCATCGTCTCTTCCTGGGGAGGAAGGAGGTGGAAGAGGTGGGAACGTTTCATCTTCTGTATTCTCATAATCAGGAAGATCAAACAAATTGTTCTCTAGAGGATCTATCATCGCCACAGATAAACTTCTTTTTTTTTCCCCTCCTGCAGGAAATACCAGAAGCGTTTAAAGAGAAGCAGCGAAACACCAGTTATATACAGTATGTCTACAGCTCGTCCAGAAAAAAAAGATTTCCCAACCAGAAAAAATAACATCAGACAAATTAAGTAACAGATACCATGCAGAGGGATGACACAACCCAGCCTCGCCAGGCCCAATAAAACACGGGTTTGTCACGTTTCAACTCGTTAAAGTTACCTGGGAGTGGCTGGCACGGGTGACAGGAACACAACAAAAGAAACGGAATTCTAACCACTTGCCCAAACAGCTGTTTTCCACTCACATCCCTGACTATCAACGACTTCAGGGGAGGGAGCAGGGGGCGGCAACTCATCTGATTTACAGCTTACCCACCTAGAAACGCAGTCCGGAGGAGAACTCCCCTTTCCCGGCTCCTTAAGCAAAGCAAATTCCACAGACTTTAGCACATCAGCACAACTGGGTTCAGGACGACCCGGTCTCACGGCGGCTGCCTTCCCAAGGCGTTCAGGAACCGCTCTTTTTGAAGGGAAAGTTGTTTTCTCGGGCGGTTTTTAGCGACACCCCAGGCGGCTCCCTACCTCCAGGCGGCCAAACTCTGAGGGAGGGCAGCGAAGGAGCAAACTGGGCTCTCTCCCTCCGCAGCCTCAACCCGCCAGGCGCCGCGGAGGCCCCGCTCCCCTCACGCCGCCACAGCAGCCCTGAGGCGCGCAGGCGCTGAGGGGAAGCGGGAAGACGAGGGAAAATACGACCCTCCCCGCCTCACACCGGCGGGAAGCGGGGCGAAGAGCATTCCTCACCCACCCTCTGAGGAGAGCCCGGTCTGCCCACAACCCAAAGAGCGATCGATCGT